AGGGAAGAAAGAGCTCAAATGCCGATTTTGTCTGAATCAACATGCCAACGAGAAACTTATATGCTCAAAGTATGACAGCAAAGTCAAAAGATTACAACGAAGTATGGAACTCAACCTGTGTCTCACTTGCTTGAATAGTCATCGTGGTCCATGTACCCGTAAACGAGTTTGCAAACATTGCCCTTTGAATCAATATCATTTTTTGACATGCCCATGCTCGAAGAAATGAATAAACATCTTTCATAATCTGGCGTTGGGTTTTTCCCGGTGGAATGTTCTGAACGAATAAAGTCGAAAAAGATAACTTAGACAAACATTTCATTTTTAACAAGAGATATAACAGTTGATAAACGCAATTGAATCAAATACTACGTGTTTCACGTGACTTCCACGTTGAACGAAGCCGCGTACACTACTTTCAGTTTTTATTCTTGTATAGTTTATCGTCGGGATCGGTTGATCCACAATAAATAATTTACCGGCACACCTTCTTTTATAATCTTTCGGGACATAAATTTGGTGCATCGGCATAAAGAGAAAAGAAATCAGAAGAAAGTAAAGTAAAGATAATAATGAATTGTAACAATTTCGGTGCGAAAGCTGCTAATCAGTTAAAAGGTTCCATCCAAGTCAGGATTAACAAATGCTATCAAAAAAGAGAGGAAGCGAAAAATATATTGAGTGAGTTTGAGGAAGGAAAAGCAACAGAACAGGAAGAGAAAGAAAAGTTAATTAAGTATATAAATATAACCAGAGACCTGTTAGAGCATTTAATGATAGTTGTCGATGATGAACTGGAAAGGACAGTTAGAGAAAGAGTAGGAGCTAATTTCATTCCTCAGTGGGAACAGATGAAGAAAGAAATCAAAGATATGGAAAAGGTGTTTGAACATAATACTCAATCGAAACAAAGGAAAGCTTTCGAAAGAGCTACAAAAAACTGGAAAGTTGCAGCCGAAGATTTTGAAAACGAGTTCGAAAATGAAATGAACTTAGAAAAACAAATTAGTTTTGTGACTAACACAAGTGGAGAAAATGAATCATTCACAGATGTAGAGTCCAGTGAGGATAATGAGAGCGAAACCGAAAGAAGCGGGAATGAGCGGGAAAGAGCATATAACAGTCCATTGGAAGTTTCATATGTCAGAGGATCAACTCCCAAGAAAAGAAAGGTAACTTCAAATAAAGAAGTTGTTGTATGTAGACACAACAGAAACGTAAGAACGTCTACACCAATAACAGAATGTACTATGTCGACTTTAACCAGAAAGGACGACATTAGCTTCCTGATTGACAAAATATCAAAATTGGAGGAGAAAATAGAAAATACAGAGAGGGAAAGGGAAACTGATTTAAAGCTCAAAGATCTTATAGAAGAAAACAAAAGAAAGGAAGAGTTCATAGAAACATTCAAAATGAATCACACAAACATTCCTAATCCCACGAAACTAAAAACCAAACTGAAAGAGTTTGATGGAGAAATCACGGAATACCCTGAATTCATAGGAATTTTCAGAATGATCGTGGACGAGAATCCTATGCTATCTCAATTAGAAAAATTTTATCATCTTCGTTCATGTCTTACTGGAAAAGCTGGCAAAGTAATAAAACATCTAAAGTTTACGGAAGAAAACTATGTGACCAGTCTCCAATTGCTACAGAGAACTTACGATAGACCGAATGAACGTAAAAGAGAGTTGAAAATAAAATTTAAAAGAATACCAAGATGCGCGAAGAACATTGAAAATATGAAAGAGACGTTCCACGATGTTAGAATAATTATTGAAGCGTTGAAGGAGTTTACATCAATCGATAATTCGGATATCATCGAAACCGTGTTAGAAAAGTTCCCTCAACATATCATACGAGAAATCTGTAAGATTGAGAACAGACAGGGTTCAGAATTGGGCGTAGAGAGAATACTGAAAATTATAGACGAAGCTATCAGCACCGAAGAGTACCTCTATCACAGAATTGATCAAAATAACTATGACATGCGGCCATCAATGAATTTTATGGCAAAACTGAATGACGATCAGAGCCAAAACAGAGCGAACTACAACTCAGGAAGAGTAAATATCGTCACAGATAAAAGAAACGGTCCGCTTCCATTCAGTAGGAGACCAGACCTCCATGGAACGTCTGAAAAACTAAAAGGAAAATATTGCATTTTCTGCAACAAAACCAATCATACATCCATAGAATGTAAAAAAAGAATTGAAGTGTACGAGAAAAGAGAGATTGTGAGGAAAGAACGAGTTTGTTGGATCTGTTTCTCAAAAAATCATAACTCGTACAATTGTAAAGAGCCTAAGTGTAAGAGTTGTAACGATGCTCATCATGACACTCTGTGTAGTAAAAGAAATCTTAACTTCAATACGTGGAACAGTGGGAATAATCTATCGAACAAATATGCTAATTACAATGAAACGAAACCTACAGCGTCGGGAGGCAATGCCGAGCCATTAAATGAAAATTTTCGCTCGCGTCTGAGTTACAGACCCAACGATTAAAATTAGAAAAGACATTGAACTTAATCTCCGAAAATATCAAAAATAGCAATTACTCTTCATTCTTTTATTCTTTTCTAACCTTAAAATCAGAGAACGTATGTATATTATTTGATAGTTGTTCGGATATATCGTTTATAAAGAAGAACATAACTAAGCAACTGAAATTAATGATGTTAAACAGTAAAGAACTACCAATCATAACTCTCGGTAACGAGGAAAAACCTTTGAAAGCCAATGAAGTGCTACTAGAATTACCTTCCATCGATAAACCAATGAAAATCATGTCGATTGAAAAGATAATTGATACAATCAACCTCCCCACAATATCAACTGAAGATAAAGAAAAAATTAGAACTATAACGGGGTTTGATATTCAACAGATCCCCGAAGGTAGAATCGAACCGGACATACTGATAGGTATGAATCACTTCTGGGAGTTTTTCTCTTGAAAAATGGAATCAATTGATATTAATGAAAATTTGAAAATCATTCCGTCCAAAATCAACCCAATATTCGCTTATGTGAACGTTAACGACGATGACGACATTCCTAAAGAGATCCCAGACGAAATGCGATGTTTTTTGACGGGAACTAGATTGAAAATGGAAGACGAACGAAAATTGTCGAAAGTTCAAACAAGAGAGATTGAAGACAAAATAGCTTGGAAGCACTTCGAAGAGAACGTAAGAGTTAAAGACAAAAGAATATCAGTGAAATTTCCAATAAAGAGTAACGTACAGTCAATCGATAATAACCTAAACAAAAGTTTCGGATGTCTTAAAGGGATTTTGAAGTCATTAGAACAGAAAAAAGAACTGTTAGGAATTTATGACAGAACTATGAGAGAACAGATAGAAATGGGAATATTAGAGCATTGCCCAAGGCAGAATCACCCTTTTTTCACGTACTACATACCACATCATTTTGTCTTGAAGATGTCCAGTTCAACAACAAAATTGAGGATAGTGTTGAATGCTTCTAGTAAGAGCAAAAATTCACAATCTCTGAACGATATCCTTTACCAAGGAGCCAAAATAATACCTAACGTACTGGGAATGCTGTTACGTATTCGATTAAGCGAAGTTTTCATCATGGGCGACGTAGAAAAAGCTTTCCATCAGATAGAGCTAGATGAAAGTCAGAGAGATTTAACTAGAATGTTGTGGGTTAGAGATGTAACTAAGGAAGCTTACGGTAACAATGTGATGTATCTTCGATTCACTAGAATCCCTTTTGGAGTGAACTGTTCACCTTTTTTACTAGGAGCTGGTATAGCGTATTTCTTGGAAAGAAAGGACCAAGACATCTTTCGAGAAATCTTAAAAAACATTTATGTTGATAATATAATACTGAATGGAATGAAAAGGAGTGAGATTCTGGATAAATATAAAACTATAAAGGAAAGCTTCCAAGAGATAGGGATGAATGTTCGGGAATTCTATACCAACGATACGCATTCCATGCAACAGATACCAGAGAAGGAACGAATTAAAGATAACCACTTCAAGATTTTAGGATTGAATTATGAGAGCAGTACAGATAGTTTCAACATAAGGATTCCTACATGGACAGAAAAAACCATAACGAGAAGAACCATATTGAGTTATATCAATTCCATATTCGATCCATTGGGATTTACGAGCCCAATCGTAGTGAGGTTAAAACTGTTCCTAAAGAAAGTATGGGAAGTAAAGACCGAATGGGATTGCGAGTTGAATGATGAATTGAAACGGGAATGGAACGGTTTAAAAGAGAAAATCGAAAGTCAAAAGCTGTGCTTTAAAAGGAATATAATGAAAGAGTCAACTGAAGAAAAGGAGATATTACTCTTCACAGATGCATCCAAGGATGTTATAGCAGCAGTTGCATACATAGTCTTCAGGAAAGACAAGAAAGTAGAGGCAATAGAATTCTTATGTGCAAAAACATCCACCATGGTAGAGGGATCTATTCCAATGAAAGAACTTTCAGCCCTTCTGTTCGGGATGAAAATGATAGAAGAGATTGTTAAGGAAATCGATACAGCAATCGAAAAAATCAATATCTTCACAGACTCCCAAGTAGTTTTATGTTGGTTGAGGAAGAACCCTACTAAAAAAGTCTACGTTCGCAATCGATTGGAGAAGATCAAGAAAATCCAAGAATCATTTGAGAATATCACCGTGAAGTTTTTCTATGTCAACACAAAAAATAATCCGGCTGACTTACCCACTCGAGGAGTGGCCGAGATAAACGAAAATTATTATGAATGGTTAGCTGGACTTATTTGGTATAAGAATGAGGAGGAATATCGTTCGATAGTGAAGACTCAACTCGAAGTTATGAGTATAAAGGAAGATGAGATAGACAATAAGATAATTAATCTGTTGATTTCTAAGCAAGTAACTCAAAAAGAAAACAACGATTTAGATTATCTAGCCCAACGATATTCTAGCTATCCTAAATTTATTAATGTTGCTAGGAATATATTTCTATTCAAAGCAAGGATCTGTAAGAAAACGAATATTGATGTTGAAACATTGAATTGGAAGCTAATGAACGCGGACACGGTAATAAAGCAGAATAAGATCTGCGTCAGAATGCTTATTGCGATTCATCAAGAACAAAACATATCTAAGTTGGAGAATCAAAGATATAAGAGTCTAGATGTCATTAAAGATAATGAAGGAATATTGAGAGTGCGAGGACGGTTGGGACACGTGAATAAGTCGGAGTCCGAGCACCCCATTCTATTATTTGGTAATAAGTTTTTTACTAACCTCCTCTTAAAATACATCCATGACATTTCTCTGCATGCCCCGAGAGAAACCTTGATAAGTATCGTAAGAAAAGAATTCTTCATAATTAAATTGAAAAAATGTTTGAATGATATAACTTCGAATTGCCTGCAATGTAAGAAAATTAATAACCGACCATTCAAGTATCCAAACTTCCCCCAACTACCAAAAGAAAGGGTAGTGAAATTTAAACCGTTCGAAAACATCGGAATTGATTACGCTGGTCCTCTATTAGTTAAAACTGAAGAACAGACTACAAAGAAAGTATGGATCGTATTAATAACATGCCTCTGTACACGAGCTGTATATTTAGAAGAAGTGACGGACTGTTCTAGTGAGACTCTCATATTAACTTTACGAAAGTTCTTTGCCAGGAAAAGAATACCTAGTAAAATCATTTCTGACAATGGTAGCCAGTTCTTAAAAACAGACAAAATATTACAATCGTTCTGCTTTGAAAAGAACATTGAATGGAGAACGATAACCCCTTATTCCCCATGGAAAGGAGGGTTCTATGAAAGATTAATTGGGATAACCAAAACGTACCTCATTAAAACACTTGGCTTGAAAAGAGTCAGCATCAGAGAACTAGCGGTAATTCTAGTGGAGATCGAGAACTTGATGAATAACAGACCTATAGCATGTATAGATAATGAATTCGAAAAAATCATCACTCTGAAATGTTAAGAGGTCTATCATCCTCAAAGTATCATAAACAATTTCGAGCAAGATCGTTCAAAAACAAATTTAATAACGAAAACAGATATCATCCATTGGATGGACGAGTGCAATGAGATAATGAAAGCTTTCTGGAATCAATGGAGCGAAAAGTACTTGGAAGAGTTAAGAGTCATTAATAATATCGGCTCCATAAGTTCACAATGGTGCAAACAAACTCCGAGGGAAGGCGATGTAGTGCTGTGTAAAGAAAATAATGTGAAACGCTATAAATGGCCTATGGCCGTGATTGTAGAAGTCATAACATCGAAGGATGGAGTTATTAGAAACGCAAAAATACGCAACTGCGAAGGGAATTTCTTGTTGAGACCAATAAACTTACTCATACCTCTCGAAATTAACACCGAGTATGATAATAAGCATGGAAATAGCCAATATCTCGAAGAAGAGTTCGAAAGTAGAAATAAAGCACTAGGCTTATCAGAGAGCAATGAAAACTCATGGAAAAACAGATTGAGACCACTACAAAAAGTGGATTATAAACCATTCGTTTGAGCTTTCTATCAAATAGGAATAAATTTATTCAAAATAAAATAAAAAGTTTAGAAGAAACAAAAACATTAGATCGTAGACATATATATTCTGCTGTAATTATTTAATAATGATATTTAATGAGAAAAACATGGTAAAGTGTTTTTAAAATCGTAATGTTTGAAGACACAGTTGTTAGCTGGGGGTGGATGGTTACGTGGCATCCCCACGTAATGAATTAGCATGAACGCAGATCTCACGTATACGAAGTAGTATATAAAGGAAACATCTTACACAAACGTTAGTCTCTACAATAAACAATGACCACCGAAGATGCAACTCTCATGGATAAATTTGAAGCCATGTGCAAAGAGGAGAATCTTAGGGAAATTGATGTTCAAGCTCAAATCAAGAATCTTAACGATAAAGTTGAAATGCTAACCAAATCAATCGAAGTTCTCGCTGAATTACAGCAGACATCTTACGTGAAGGTATTGAGCGTTATCGTATAATTAGACATGACACCTTAAGACTAACGAGAATACGTTGAAGAAAGGGAAGAAAGAGCTCAAATGCCGATTTTGTCTGAATCAACATGCCAACGAGAAACTTATATGCTCAAAGTATGACAGCAAAGTCAAAAGATT